GTGCACGACCGACCGAAACAAACTCAACTGCAGGTGCATTTGCAGGCTCGCGGGGCGGCGGCTCGTCAAGGTGACGGGCAGAAAAGCCGTGAGCTGGGTTTCCAGCCAGGTGGCTTGAAGATACATCTAACCCTCCGGTGCCATGGGAGGAGGGCTGTGCCGGAACCTGAGGTGGCGGCAATATCAGCCCGAACCCGGGGAGTAACGTGGCACCTGGTGGTGCTGGTGGCGCCTGTAGCGTGGCACCTGGTGGTGCTGGTGGCGCCGGTAATACCCTCCGGCGCGAAGTTGTTGAGCTCAACCTTGCCCGCGCCCAAATTGCCCGTTCTTCCTCTGTAATAAGTCCCAACGTCTCTCTCGTGTGGAAGCTCTCCCCAGATGGGCTGGACAGGATTGCTCTTTGCTGGGCACCCGTATAAGTCACCGGCTAACAGTGCTGTCGTCAAGGGCCCTGCTGCAGGAGGTGGTAGTGGCGCCGTAGGGGTAGGCGGCGCTGATGCTGGTCGTGGAAGAGGTGCCACTGCCTTTGGAGAAGATGCCGCCGCTTTCGGAGAAGATGCCGTCCCTTTCGGGGAAGATGCCGCCTTCGGGGAAGATGCCGCCGCTTTCGGGGGCGTCTTCGGTGCCATTGACCCCGAGCCTTTCGGAGGGGTAATCGGGCGGCGCGACGGAATCCAAGACGGCTGTGGGACCCAGTGTCCCCATCGCTCTTCCGAGTCTTCCGAGCTGCTCAGAACTTGTGGCGAATTGCTCCGAGCTTGTGGCACCAAGGGATCCAAGGGTTTGGCACCCTGTAGCGCAGCTGTGCTTCTCCGTGCCACCCCGATAGTATCGGGCCATGGGCGCCCCTTTGAGCGCTTTGTCGGTCGTTCCTTCGGCCCTGCTGACGGAGGCCTTGACGCTGCTGCCGTTGATCCCTTCTCCTTCGGCCCTGCTGACGGAGTCCTTGCCGCTGCTGCCGTTGATGCCTTCTCCTTTGAGGCCGCTGCAGCTTCCGATGCCGATGCCTTCTCCTTCGAGGCTGGTGTTGTATGGTCCTAAGGGTTGGGACCGGGTTGAACAAACCCCAGAGCTTTTGGGGCCAAATTCGACCTGAGGTTTGGGGAAGGAAGCCTCGGATCTCTACTTTTGTCCAAATAATCGGAAAATCATACATGTGTGGGTATCGATTTTGAACGCATTCCGCAAACGGTTTGTTTGAAAAAACCGAATTCTCTGATATTTTGAAAAAGGTGTTGCCCAGCTGCTGGCCGACACCTTGGGGGGCGGCGGCTCCTCCGTCCATATGCCAGCTGCTGCTGTCAACGATTTCGAGGGGGTAGTCGACGACTCGAGTGGCACTGGGCCCTGGTAGCTTCCCTGGCTTTTGTACCATTCTGTTTGGAGCACCCGCGCCATCACCACTCGAAGCTGCTCGTCTGAGAACCGGGGAAGATATCCTTGAAGGCACATCTGCACGCGTTCGTTGTCGGAGAACCTCTGTGGAGAGATTATCAGCTCTGGACGGCCACGTCGTTCCCAACTGGCCATTGCTTTGCTGTGGTTCTCTGTCGCGAGATGCCCAGCGGTCGCTCCTTTCTCGCAAAGCAGGCAAAACTCCTGCCAGTGACGCTGCCCGTGATTGAGCGGCAACCTCGAGCTCCACTGTCCAAGTGGTGCCGTGTAAGGCGGCACAAACTTCTCCATGAGCTGGGCCACTTGATCCCACTCTTCGCGGGACAGCGCGCTCGTGGGGAGAGGATCCACCGTATCTTCCTCCACCCGAGATGCCTTTATCCTCCACTTCGCAGAAGGATTCATGGCCCAGGCTAGCAGCTGAAAACTCGAGCCCGGACTCCTCGGTGGGACCAGGATGTTCAACAAGCTGGGGCACACAAGCATCGAAGCAACCGACCGACCGACCAACCGACCGAC